GTGTTGCAGGGAGTTCAGGCTCCGAACGGCAGGTCCTGTTGCAGACACAGTATGACCCCTCGCTCGGTTAATTTAGCTCTAAAGCGACGGTGACTTTCTGGTGGACGGCATCTGTGAGGCGGTAAGCGGTTACAGTGACTCCACGCTTGTCTGTGATTTGGTTCAGGTTGTAGGCGACTTGGGTGTTTTATCAAGTAGTTTAAGGTGTCGAGGGGAGAAAATTATATGTGAGTCGCTTCCTTTAAACGTAAAGTCAGGAAATTTGTTATACATTTTGATTTATAGGCAGAGAAATAGCATTAAAGCTTATTTTACTAATGAAAAGAATTGTTTTTACTATAAAAAGCACAGAGTACAGAGTATTACTCACGTGCTCTCAACAGTGGGTTTCGAGTGTGTCTCTTGAACATGGTCCGTAGGGTGATGAGTCTCAGTGAGTCACCGTGGTTCCTTCCTGAGACCCAGCTGGGGGCCTGGGGACCCCCATGGGGAGTTGGCCAGCTGCTGGGAGCACCTCGGCTGCAGCGGGAGCAGGCCTTACAACGTGTAACTGCAGCGACACGGGAGGTGACGTGTGGTATCACTGTCGTGTAACTACAGTGACACGGGAGGTGACGTGTGATGATGTGTAACTACAGCAACACGAGTTGACATGTGGTGGTGGTGCCGTGTAACTACAGCAACACGAGGTGACGTGTGATGATGTGTAACTACAGCGACACGGGAGGGGACGTATCACTGTCGTGTAACTACAGCGACACAAGGTGACGTGTGATGATGTGTAACTACAGCGACACGGGAGGTGACGTGTGGTATCACTGTCGTGTAACTACAGCGACACAAGGTGACGTGTGATGATGTGTAACTACAGCGACACGGGAGGTGACGTGTGGTATCACTGTCGTGTAACTACAGCGACACAAGGTGACGTGTGATGATGTGTAACTACAGCGACACGGGAGGTGACGTGTGGTATCACTGTCGTGTAACTACAGCAACACGAGTTGACATGTGGTGGTGGTGCCGTGTAACTACAGCGACAAGAGTTGATGTGTGTGTTGTTGTCGTGTAACTACAGCGACACAGGAGGTGACGTGTGGTATTGTAAGACAACTGTTTTTGCTGAAGAGACACATTGAAACTACTTTTTCTTAGCAGTAAATACAGTGAGACCTGGGACGTTTGTGGTGAGATTGGGTGGGCATCTCTGTCCCAGTGAGGGGCCCAGGCCTTGAGGGTGGCTTGCTGGTTCTTGCTCCTGGCTGACCGTGTGTGACGTTTGTCCTTGCATGTCCACTGTCCTGGTTGCAGCATGAAGCGAGCCCGCTCTCTGAATGTCCTAAACGTGGGTGACAAGGCAGCTGAAGACCATTTCCAAGTAAGGAGCCCCGCCCCCCTGCCCTGACTCCCAGACCAGGTGGCGGGCGGCCGCAGGGCCTCGCGAGTTGGGTGACAGACAGACAGGCGCCATGTGACGTCTCCTGAGCATTGACTGGGCCGGGTTATGGGAATGTTATGTCGTCAGCATTCTCGGTACGTTAATCAGTGGCCTTGAGAAATGGTCTGGTCGGCCTGATTGAAATGAAACATTCTGATGGAGTGATGTCTGCACGTGGCCTGTTCACTTGTGTGACTTTAGCCTGCATGGCTAATGGTCCAGTTCAGCTGTTACTGGTGTGAGGAACTGACACGCTGTCTGGGCATTGAACCTGTGAGCCTGTCACCTTCACATTGAAAACTCCTGGCACCCTGTTCTCGGTCAAAAAGGCCTTTTCTCATTTTTGTAAATGTCTGGCGGCTGTGGGTGCAGCCAGGCCTGGGCCCTGGGCCCGCCTTGTCTGTCAGGTGCCGGGCAGCCGGGCTCCTCTCAGAACCTTGGACCCGGCCGCACTGCTCCCTGGGTGCGTCGCCGGCTTTCCCGTTCCCTGCAGCACCTGGGACTGTCCGGGCTGCTCTCCCTGGAAGGGAAAGGCCTCTGCTGGACACTCCGGGCGGGGCAGGGTGCAGGGCCCGCAGTGGACACGCCTCTCCCCCGCGTCTGGTGGTGGCACCTGCTCGTGAGCACCAGGCCTCGCGTGACGTGGAGTTTGAGCTGAGGCCGCTGGGCCGGCGCCGTGCGGAGTGCTGGTTGAGTGTAATTTTCCCATTTGTTTTTCATGCAGGAACGAAATAATTGTCTAGCAGATGCGAGAGCTCTGAGTGCCAGCCACACTGACCTGGCAGCCTGCAGGCCGGGCCG